TTTATTCATTGCCTTTTGGACTTTACAACTGCTAACGTACCCAGCATTATATGGTTTTGATTTTTTTCTCACTTTTTACCTAATTTGCTTACTTTTAATGTTGCAGAATTTGTTTTCTCGGATATCGAAGATGGTTTTAAATATGGATATTTTTTAAGGTATCGTGTTGCATTTGGAAATTCCAGTATCGTGAAAACACTATTCCACGTGTCGCCTCTCATTAGGGTAACATTGGAGCTCATTGGCCTAATTTTACTTCATTTGCATAATTTTAATATTGCGGAAAATGTTCCATGTGGTATCTAATGGTATCAAAAATGTATATTTTTCTAAGGAATCGTATCAAAAATGGAAATTCTAGTAGCTTAACAATACTATTCAGTACATCGCATCTCGTCAGGTTTACGTTGGAGCTCATTGGCCTGATTTTACTTCATTTGCATACTTTTAATGTTGCGGAAATTGCTTTCCTAGGTATCAAAAATGGTATCAAATATCGATATTTTTCAAGGTATCGTATCAAAGTTGGAAATTCTTGTATCGTAACAACACTATTCTACACATCGCCTCTTGTCAGGTTAAAGTTGGAGCTCATTGGTTTGATTTTACTTGATTTGCACACTTTTAGTGTTACTGAAATTGCTTCCTGCGGTTTTCGAAAATAGTATCAAATGTCGATATTTTTCAAGGTATCGTATCAAAGTTGAAATTCAAGTATCTTAACAATGCTATTGCTCACGCCGCATCTCGTCTGTTTAACGGTGGAGCTCATTGGCCTGATTTTAATGAATTTGCATACTTTTAATGTTGCGGAAATTGTTCCCCTCTGTATCGAAAATAGTATCCAATACCGTTATTTTTTAAGGTATCGTATCAAAGTTGGAAATTCAAGTATCGTAACAACGCTATTGCTCACGCCCCCTCTCGTCACGTTAACGTTGGACCTCATTGGTCCAATTCAGTGTGTAGAATCTGTGTCATCTAAAGAGAGTGCTTTAGTTGGTTATTCAGCAACGAATCAGAGCGCGAGAACAAAAGTTGAAGTGACGAACCCAAGTTAAAAATTCAAGTCAGGAAGGAACACAAAAAAGCTGGCTGCAATTTCTGAATATTTTCAAACAATATAGATTAGATAGGATGGTGTGTGTGTGTGTGTGTACATTATATTTATTCCAAATGTCTCCACAAGTATAGCAATGCCAGTAACTTTTGACCTTATGGAGACATTTTATTTAGTCAAAAAGCTAAAAAAAAACACAGATTGAAGTTAAAAATGTAAAAACGTTGATTGTTTCCTGTGAGGGTTAGGTTTAAGGGTCTTATGGGGGAGGGATATGCAATATAACATTTGTACAATATAAAAATCATTACGTCTGAGAAGTCCCCATAAAGATAGCTGTACAAGTGTGTGTGCGCATGTTATTTTTTGGATCCACCCTGAAGAGCTCAGTAATGAAAAGCAGATGTGACGTCTCCTCAGATCTTTAGTCAGGCTAACACATTAAACATAGCCATTCTTCAACACCATCAAACTTCATCAAAGCAAACTTCTAGCCTGTATTTAATAACCCGAGATCCGCCAGTCCAGATCTTTATATGGACTCTTCAAGCTGTCCTATCCAATTAGCTGAAGGCTAGTGGAAAACCAATTAGCCGTTTCCTTAATGTCATTTCAGGGCTCGATCCATGCTCGTTAGATGAGGCAACAAGAAAATGATTATCCGGCTCTGGCCACAGACACATTACTTAGAAAGAGCCACTGCAAACTATGAAGCGCTAGCAGAGATGAAGATTTCCTACTGTACGTCTACTATATATGGAGCAAAATGTGTGCCAAAAATTCACAAACAAATTCAGGTATGTCGCTGGTTACACTAGATTTGGTGTATTTTCAAGGGTTACATGCAGGTGGACTTCATTTATACATCTTTCTCTTTGTTGAGCAATTCACTGAAAAAACATAATTCACTGGATTTACTACATTTTTTAAAGGTGGTTTTAAATATTTTTATGGGCTGAATTTAAACAAACAAATAAAATTTTGTAATGTTCAACTTAATTTGTTTGTTTAAATTTAGCCCATATATATGGTTTGCAACCACTTACCTTAAAATCTTTTTAGTAAATCCAAGAAACTGCTGGATTTGTTTGTGAAATATTGGCACAAGTTTCGCTCCATAACCAGCTGGATTTGTTTGAAAAATATTGACACAAATTTCACTCCATAACTAGCAGAATTTTTTGTGAAATATTAGCACAAATTTTCGGTCCATAACCAGCTGGATTTGTTTCCGAAATGTCAACACAAATTTTGCTTTTTAACTAGCTGGATTTGTTTATGAAACATTGGCACAAATTTCAATCCATAACTAACAGGAATTGTTTGTGAGTTATTGGCACAAATTTCGCTCCATAACCAGCTGGATTTGTTCGCTCTATAACTAGCTGGATTGGTTTGTGAAATGTTGCTACAAATTTCACTCCATAACTAGCTGGATTTGTTTTTGAAATATTGGCACAAATTTCGCTCCTTAACTAGTTGGATTTGTTTGTAAATTATTGGCACAAATTTTGCTCCAAATCTAGCAGGATTTGTTTGTGAAATATTAGCACAAATGTTGCTCCATACCTAGCTGAATTTGTTTGTGAAATATTGGCACAGATTGTGCTCCATATCTAGCAAATCAAATCAAAAACAAATAGCTGGATTTGTTCGTAAAATACTGGCACAATATTCGCTCCATAACTAGCTGAATTTGTTTCCAAAATATTGGCACAAAGTTTGCTCCGTATCTGTAATTGTTTGTGAAATATTGGCTCAAATTTTGTTCCATAAATAGCTGGACATGTTTATTGGCACAAATTTTGCTCCATATCTATAATTGCTTGTGAAATATTGGCACACATTTTGCTCCATAAATGACACACTACATTAGAAAAAAGATTTGTCATTTATGAAACCCCATGTCAAGCAGATCATGCAGAAATCGGGAGAAAATCATGTAATCTGTGTCTTAGATGGTTGTTTTATGGTAGAATAGAATTACATGACAACTATAACAACACCTACACTACAAACAGAAATGATTAAACTATATACATCACGAGCGTTTCCATGTGGAAGAAGTGTGTTTGCTCTGCTCTGGAGAACTTCCCTCCTCTTTTTCCCATGTTTTTGAGACTGGATTTACTGTCTGTGCTGCAGCTCTCACCTGCTTAATGGCTTTAAGTTCAAAGTATTCTTCAGTTTTAATGAAGGCTAATTAATGCATAAGCACTTGGAAGCTCAGTTGTAGTTTGTCATCTGTATTATTTCTCTCCTTAAGTTATGACTCTTCAAGTATTTCTCGAAGAGTTTGTTGTGATTTTTGATTCTTATCTGTGTGTTTTTTTGGCAGACGATATAGAACCCATTGATAAAAATCATTGTGTGTGTGTGTGTGTGTGTGTGTGTGTATAGTGCACATGTAAAAACTGAAGTGTACTTTGAGCTTGAATGATTGTGTGTTGATCTGTGAGTTTCTGGATCACTTCTGTAGTCATATTTCTGTCAATCGAAAAAAAATTCTCTTTTCTTTTTATCTTTAAGTTTAATTACTTTTTTTTTAATTTATTACTTAATTTTTCATTTATTCTTATCCCCACAGTCCAAAGACAGGCTGTAGGTGAATTGAATAAACTAAATTGACCGCTGTGTGTGTGTGTGTGTGTGTGTGTGTGTGTGTGTGTGTGTGTGTGTGTGTGTGTGTGTGTGTGTGTGTGTGTGTGTGTGTGTGTGTGTGTGTGTGTGTGTAAATAAGTGTGTACGGGTGTTTCCCAGTACTGGGTTGCATCTGGAAGGGCATTCGCTGAGTAAAACATATGCTAGAGTAGTTGGCGGTTCATTCTGCTGTGACGACCTATGAAAAATAAAGGGACTAAGCTGAAGTAAAATGAATTCATGAATTTTTTTTCATTTTTTCTTTCTTTTTTTTTCCGTTGTTCATGAATTTTTTTGTTTTTATTAGTTTTTTTTCTTTCTAATTACAATTTTCATATTATTATTTTTTCATTCATAGATTTTTCTTTTTTTTTTCATTTTCTTTTTAAATTCTTTATTAGTTTTTCTTCATTTTCTTGATCTATTTTTTCATTGATTCATTTTTTATTCATTTATAATTGTTAATATTGTTAATATTATTATATTTATTTATATCATTTATTTTATACTTTTTTTACATTTTCTTAATTTTTTTTCTTCCTTTTTTATTTATTACTTAATTCTTTATTAACTAATTTTTTGTTCTTTAATATTTTATTACCTTTTTCTCCATTTTTTCTTTTATTTATATTTTAATATTTTCACAGATTAATTTTCTTTGATTCATTTTTACATTATTATTATTATTACTATTATTATTTATTCTTTCATTTATTCATTAATTTATTGATTTTTTTGTTTTTCCATTTACTTTTAAAAATTCTTTTAGTTTTTCTTCATTTATTATTATTATTATATTAATTATTTATATTATTGTTTTTGCTATTTTCTTAGTTTTTTCTTTTTTTTTTATTCAATAATTAATTCTGTATTTATTTTTTATTTATTAATTCATTTTGTTGATTTGTTTCTTTTGTTTTTCCATTTTTTAAATTTTTTTCTTAATTTTTAAAACATTTCATTGATTCATTTTAAACTGTTTTTCACAGTTTTCTAATTTATTCTTTATTTTTTATATTTATTATTTTATTTGTTCATTTTTTCATTCATTTATTTTCTTGTCGGGTTAGTCCCTTTATTAATCTGGGGTCGCCACAGTGAAATGAACCGCCAACTTATCCAGCAAGTTTTTATGCAGCGGATGCCCTTCCAGCCACAACCCATCTCTGGGAAACATTTATTCATTTATTTTTATTATTTTATTCATTCATTTATTTATTTATTTGTTATTAGTTTTTTTATTTATTTATTAGTTTTTCATTCATTCATTTATTTTATTTATTTATTATTATTATTTATTTTTTCAAAAATATATCTGCATGACCAGTTAATGATGGCCTAACATTTCCTGATTTAGTTTACACAACGTTCAGAATTTCACAACATTTTTGCAGCTCTGCTCACATTTCAGTTGATTCTCTGTTCGGCTCTCATAGAGAATGAATGGGAAGCGACAGCGTGTGTAATAATCAAGACCTCAGAGACTATTAGTGTAGCACAGAGTGATCCAGAAAACAGTTTTGCTAACGTTTTCTTCCTGCGCACAGCTTCACGTGAGGAAAAAAGAAATGCTCCTCTGTTTTCCCTTTCTAAATCTTGGACGTGTTTCCTCCTCTGGCTTTCTTTAGCTTGGCCATGCGGCGTCTTTCTTCCCCAAATAATCTCCTGCAGTTCACCGCAGGCCTGGGTTACAGGTTTTCAATCCGTGTGCGTGTTTACTAACTGCAGACTGGACTGTGCTTATACTGTAAATGCATGATCTTTTTACCTCTGGGATGCATCTCTGACTTTTAAGCAGTGATTCTTGTTTTCTGGCTTCCAGTTTGAAATTAATCTAAGATGAGGACTGCTTACTTTGAGTTTGGAGGATTGTTAGTCAATTGACAGACCTGTAAAGCACCTAGTATTTAAATGATTTGATATTGAGTATTTTCATGATACTAGTTATTAAAAATGAGTTATTAAAACTATTATATTTGGAAAATGTGTTGCTGTTAAACAGATATTAGAGAAAAAATATAGAAAGGGTGTTGATAATTCTGACTATATATATATATATATATATATATATATATATATATATATATATATATATATATATATATATATATATATATATATATATATATATATATATAGATAGATATATATATATATATATATAGATATATATATATACATATATATGTATATATATATATATATATATATATATATATATATATATATATATATATATATATATATATATATATATATATATACACATACATACACACACACACACACACACACACACACACACACACACACACACACACACACACACACACACACACATACATATATATATATATATATATATATATATATATATATATATATATATATATATATATATATATATATATATATATATATATATATATATATATAAATAC